TAGAAATAGTGTCACCCTTGCATACACATACAAACATACACCCAGTAAACCATACATTGTGTACAGAAAACAAACTTACTTTAGACACACTGTTCAAATACACACACACACACACACACATACAGACACAAAAAAAGAAAAAGAGACACACCACAAAGAAATATATTCTCACACCTGGTGAAAGAAGTAGTTGACAGCAAGCTGGTTGTCGTTGAGCAGAATCTCCTCTTCTGTAGTGAAGAGCCACTTGCGTAGGGTGAGGCAGGTTCCTGGGATGGCTGAGGTATAGTTCTGTACATACAGTTTGTGGGGGAACTCATTAGGGGCAAGCTTACGCACTGAGGAAGAAAGAGAAAGAAAAGGGGCAGGGGGGTGATATCCCATTATTACATGGTGAGAAAAGAGTATTGCTTTACTTAGTTTCTCTAAATTTTCTAGCTTAAATCAATTATCTTTCTGCATAGTCAACAAAAAATTTAGTGTCATGTTTGTGTGCAATGTGTTAGATAATAGAGGCTCTGCTTGCTGCTGGTTGGTATGTAGTGGAAAGAAGAAGAAAAAAAAATCCACTGACTGACAAGTAGTTTTGCAAACACTATCTACTGAAATAATGAAGTTAGATGGCATTGTTGAACAGGCAGGTGTAACCTAACAAACCAGATCAACATTCCCCAGCAGCAGAGCAGGGAGTATGTCTTCAAACAGGATCAAAAGGTAGTAGTCAGACATGGGTTTTTCCTTATCGCTAATGCAGATATTTAGGCAGGTAGTCCGTTGGTCAATATATGATGCCGAAATTAACACAAAGAAAAGTCGTGTATAATTCCATTATTACATGCACATTACAATCGAATATACATGGTAATTTTAGCCAGTAGCATGTTGTTTAGAGAGATTTTTGTTCACTTAATTATGCTGTAGATTTCAGAATGTTAGAATGTGATATTTAAGTCAACCCTCAAACTAAAAGCTAACCAGTGTACAATTCATCATCTTGTTTTTTCTCCAAGAAGAATTCAAGCTGTTGCCTTTCCTCCAATTTGGAAATAAGAGAGTTTGCAGACGGGGAGGAGAATACAAATATTTAACTGCTACTGCAAATATGTAATTTGCAACTGATAAAGACATGAATGATGTTCTCTACATCACTGAGGGATAAAAAATGCTTAAATTCTCCATTTATTTTTTGCCTGAAAGAAAATAATTATGAACTCGTGACCTACATGCAAAACCAGAGTTAGACATAAAAAAACACCTTTGTTTTTACTGCTACTGTACTGCTGGCTGTCTTTGCAGTAACAGACAGGGCACACAGGTCATGGAGAATACATTCAGTAGTGCTGTGTGTTAAAAAAAAAAGAACTGCTTCTAATCATTTCATTAAGTTGCTTTTTAAAATAAATCTGACATTTGTACCGTACTAGCCTTCAAGAAAATTAGGACCACAACATTCATGTCCATGAAAAGGAGCATACACACAAACTCAAAGCTTAATAACATGTTCTTACTAACCAAAGGTGTGGTTGATGACCTCGAACAAAGCAAAGTAGCTGGCTGTTACACTGTCCATCCCCAGTTTCATAACCACAGCCTGAAAGAGAGAATCAGAAAAGGAGAAAACACTGATGAGATGACTATAATAAGGTCATGGTTATAATGGTTAATACGTAGTTATACAAGCCTGTGTAAGTGTTTACCTGGTAAACCTGGTCTGTAGTGGAATTTTTGCGCACTCTGACAGTGAGTGTGGTTTTATCGGGCATGGCTATTCTCAACTCCACATCTGACACACCGTTATAGTTCTACGTCATGAGAAGGAGAGACAAGGTGTACGGTGAATCACAGGCAGAGGACCACAAGAAGACACACGTAGGTTTTTCTTTTTCTCTTTTTACCTCATCTGATTCAGACAGGAACTCCTGCATGATGTCACTTTCTCCAATTACCCGTACAGAGCACACTGCAGGCGAGAAACAAATCATATTAGGTGAAGAGTTTTTTTATATGTAGCATTAAACTACAGTGGTTATACAATGACATAAACAGTAATTATGCACTTTGATTGGACAATATTTCCAGACCTTTCCACTCTTTTTGCCTTAGTATTTAACTTTACAAACCCCAGAGAATGACATACTAATTACTACATTATGGCTTTACAAACATTTCAAGAAACCCTACACCTTCTCTCTCTCTCTGACCTTTCTCCAGGTATTCCTCCAGGCCTCTGCGTCGTGCATCCAGCTGCTGCTCCGACAGGGAAAAAGGCCATTTCCCAGGCAGCTTGGGGAAGGTAAAGTTGGCAAACTCCCTCTTTAGGTTTTGGTGTAGGATCACAAACTCACGGTAACGCTTGGAGCACAGCTGCCTGCCTGCCATGTACACGTTATATACCTGGAGGAGAGAGTGCAGAGAAAGTGAATAATGAAAACGAATGTCCTAACGCAATGACAGGGAGTTAAAATGAACATGTGTACCACGATCAGGATTATTTATAATACTTTGCTGGAACATTAGACTTGAGTCCAGAGCTCATGTTCAAGTTGTGGACACTGTAGTCAGACTTGTGTTGTGATCTGCCGCATAAAAAAAAATATAAAATTATGTTTGATCTTACATAAAAAAGAATTTCTAATTCTCATTCACTCCTCTGTTTACGCTACACCCTTTCACTGGCCACTCCTATCCGAGCCATCTCCTCTACAAATGCACCCACCACAAACTTTTCCTGGTTGAGCTCAGTGTGTTTGTAGCTCGGCACAGAGATGGGGACGGCCTGCTTGTCGGAGTAGTCATAGCAGGACTGGGCCAAAACGTCATCTCCGGGATCCAGGCAGTCGGCCTCCTGGGGCGGTACAGACAGCACGGCCAGCACCAGCTCCCTCTCTCCAGCCCTTATCAGGTCCACCACCTGCTTGTGGGTCGCTCCCTCTACATTCACACCATTACTGTTAAAATGATAAAGGGAAAAATTTATATGTTAGGGTGGGAAGAGACTATTAATAGCTCACTTTTCTCACTGTTGTTGAGTTTATTTTTGTGGAAAATTTCATCATATACTGCAAGAATAAATACTATCCTGCTTTAAATACAGTTTTAAACAAAAGTACCTTTTATGTTGTTTGTTTCTATGGCACATTTTGAGATTGTATTGGACTGATTTATACTGAAAGGTTTTTACATATTCAGGAGTAAAAATACAAGGTAACAACATAAAACAATCAAAATCAATCAAAAATGACCATACACACTGACAACAAAGGTAGCATTTATACACAGGACTGTTGTATTCAGACACTTAGAATTCATCGTCATTTTGCATCGTAAGCTTATCTCAAGGGGAAAGAGTGAAGCATTGCATTATAAGAGTCTAAGCACAATGGATTTTAACAATGATTGAAATCCCTAAATAGCATATTCTGAATGAAATGGCTGAAAGTGGATCAAGTGTAATAGACAGCAAATGGGCCACACAAGGATTTTTCCTCAAAATAACTAAATCAGTGAAGCAGGAAGCAACAGTCTATAGCACTGTGCCCAACACAAATCCCCCCTCGGGGACAATAAAGTTTACTCTACTATCTTCCCTCGCAGGAATAGGACCTTTGGTTTATGTCTTTAGCACAGCTGAGCATGAGCAACACTGGGTGTGGCAGGCATGTGTCAGAGGCATGACAATGCTGATGAGTGTTCTAGTGATGTGAACTATAGTTAACTTTACTCAAAACAGCCCCAGCACCTCCTCTAAAAGCTCTCAGCATCGCCTCTAGCTCTCTGTGACACCAAACAAATTACAATGTTACAGGTTGGCTGGAAAATACATATTTGAACCATTTCAGAGATACTGTAAATTATGTCATTTTGAGCTTTATTTGTTTATTCTCCTAATGTAATGGGTTTCTAATGTAATACGTTTTTTATTTTTGAGTTCACAAGTTGGCCTAATTTCTTGAACATTTTTCAAAAGACTGCCACATATACCACTTGTTATTCACTTGCATAACCTAAATGCTAACCAGTAAATACCTTAGGGAAAGTAGAATTCTTGTGGCGTGAAGTGGTTAGACAAAGACAGGCTCCGATCTTCTAATACAATGGCTTCTTCTTGGAGTTTTGTCAAATAGGTTGAAGTTATAAATGAATAAAGAAATCACCTTTTTTTTTTAAAATTTTCTGATTTGTGATTCTTTATTGAATAGGAAAAGAACGAATGCTACACGGATTCAACTCCCTCCCGAGGTCAACAGCTGATCTATTATGTCAGCCATTATGTCACTGGACAGCTTACGTTGGCAGGGTCACACATGGTTAAAGCTCAGCGGGCACAAACTCTCTAACACCTAATAACTCAATGGCAAGAGATATGCAAGCGAGTAAAGAAGTAAAGGAGTAAAGGGAGGCTTTCTGAGCCAGGAAGCACATTGCAAAGCAGAGAGTAGCGTTGGTGAGGAAAGATAACTATGTAGATACACAAAGACTAATAGGGGAGACACGAATAAAAGCATCTTGCAGGTGTAGTTGGAGAAAGAACACGCCTCCTACAGCACAAAATACAAACTAAGCATTTGGCAGCTGTGTCATTCTAGCAGCTTTGTGACTATATAATAAGCACCTGATGTAGTGGCCCTTGCACTTGCACTATCAGCACTTCTCAGCATGATACATATAAAGATCTGTGTCACATCCTCAGTTCTTTTGTCTTTATAATTCAAGGTAATACCTCATTTATTTGTTTATATTGCTTTTTGTACTGCACACCTACTTACACATAAGCGTGCGCACTAAGGATGCAATTAACGATTATTTTCATTAAAGATGATTCTTTTGATCATCTCAAGTAACCGATCAACTGTTTCCCATATCTCAAGGTGACATTCGAGAATGTTTTGTTCTGTCTACAAACCCCAAGATATTCAGTTTACTGTGATAAAGACGTAAAGAAACCAGAAAATATTCACTTCAGAATCAGAGAATTTGAACATTTTTCAAAAAAAAAAGACAAAACGATGAATAAATTATCAAGATAGTTTCTGAATTAATTTAATAGTTGACAACTAAAACTATTAAATTAATTCAGAAACT